TTAGCTGGTAACATCTTTCTCATCAGTGCATATTGTAACAAAGGTGAGACACTAGCTTTCGAAACCTTATGCTTTACTTGGACGGCAACCCTCGAACCGGAAGCTGAGACATCGGCCTAGTACCGTATTGCTGCGTTGAAGCGCTACTTACTGTACAAATTCACGAAAATGTTGCAAAACTTTAGTAATGGCGCACCCTGCCTTTATTTTTTATTTTATTTTTGCTGCGAATTGTAATTTGATGCTCGATGGTTCTGCAGATGGGTTGATTGCAGGGGTTGGGTGGTCGTCAACAGGATTCCATAGAGGATTCGTGCGTGTCCTGTAATCTAGTCTATGACAAATTAGGTTAGCGTCGTCTCGTCCAACAAGACTGATAGCATGCCGAGTATAAAGGAGAACATCGTATCGATGATTGCAGCAAATTTCAGGCATCTTGACATGATGATATTTATACAATCAAGATAACAGTCAGTTTGTCTCTTTGTTTGTCGCGGTGTTGGCTATGACGTCGAGGTATGGACAGTTCTCAGCTCTTCCTTGCCCAAAACGCATCCTCAGCCACCAAACATTTCCAGTTATGGCTCAAACTCCAATCGTTGGGTCAATAGCTCTTGATTTTAGCCATGATTTTAGATCAATTAATCATCGTCTTTGGCCTTAGTCCTGAATGACGTAATCCAGATGAAGCCCTTATGGAAAATATAGGTTCGCGAGGATAACACTGGACCTTCTCATCTCCAGATGTCTTCAGATCCTACTGACTTCGCTCTATCTAATTGGCGTTTGTATTTTTTCCACAGTTGAATATTCAAATTGCTCAGAGTCCTTCGTCGCCATCACGGGAATGTAGGCTTAGCCATCAAGCTCTGGAAAAACTACCAGACCGCAAATCTCATCGATAACTTTGCCCTATAGAGGGTATTTTTCAATATATTTATATCGTCAATACTGATAAATGCTGTCATTAAACTATCCAAGCATTCGCCAAATTAATTCTTCGCAACTTCTACACCTAGATTCCTACGGTCGACAAGATCGAAGAGATTCTTGGACACGTTACTAAAGCACAAGCAGGTGTTGGTGGCACATCAATTGCAATACCGCGAGCGATCATACCGAGTTGAGTATCTACTGTCAGAATTAACAAGTCTGAGCCATCTTTGACTCTAGAGAGTCTGCCCGTAATAGTCGTGTCTTTTCGGAGTTCAAGTTGACGACTTTTGTCAAATCACCCGTTGATCAGTTCTATACATCCATAGTGGCCAACCTTACTCTCAGCATCCAGCCGATACAAGTCCAGTTCGGGGGACTCAGTCTGGGTATTCCGTATGTTGACATTGTTGCGGCTGGACTCGCAATAGCTCAATCGATTACCTCTGCAAGGCTGGCCTGCCCCGGACTACAATAACAACAGCGAGACAACCCTATCACTGGATGCCAAAATCTACAGCAAGAGGAATAACATAAAACTTCCATGATACTTGATACTAGACACATTAGTCTCATCCGAAGATAACTTGGACTGATATCTGGATGTTGTAAGTGAGTTCTGATCCCGCTCGCACGTTACACATGTTTGAATAGCCATTTGACCAGCTTTGCTTACTACGACAACATACCATGGCTGACTATGCCTACTCCTCTTCTTCTTCATAGTCTGGAGTTTCGTGCTTAGATACCCATCCCACCTAAACGACATCTGAGGGAAGATGCTCGGTATTCGTGACGGCCAGTTTTCTTACTCTGACTTGATCTATTGCCAAAAAAGAATCAATGGAGTAGCATGCTATGAGCTTCCTAGATAGGCTTTGGGGCTAGGTAACAGCATCATGTATAAAGTAAGTGGTAATAACCATAGTTGTGTGGAATATCATGAGTCCCTATGAGTAGCATCACATGCTCTTTGCTTTTTCTTGAGGGCTTTTCTATCCACGCAATGTCATTTTTTATGTGTCTTGCTATGATTTGCGGGTTACTATTATAATTCTAACTTCTTAGGATACTCTAGGTTATCAGAAATAGGAATGCAGAATGCGATATAACTCAAAAGACAGGGAATGATGTGTTTAATGCAAGTTCATAATAACTTAGATGCGAATCACTACGGCCTCAAGATAACGGCAAACAGGTAATAGGAGACGCTACTTATTCACCTTTGGCGCAGCACTAACGTCATCCCATCTCTCGAATTTAACAGTCCTCAATCAAAGTCAGGCGAGGTTAAGGTTGCAGATTTATGTCCTTTCTCCACACTTAACACTGGCTAGCTCGGCGCCCTTCTATTTATTTAAAAAGGCTTCACGAACCTAAACTCACGATTAGCCCTCCTCTTTGCTTGCTTATGTTGTGAGTCTGATGATGAAGTCGGATATTATAGAATTATGGCACTAGATGTCGTGTCCAAGACCTAATTTCCACTTCTCACCAACAATGTGGATGTCAGGACCTGGGCCTCAGTGAAGCGGGACTAGTGGATTACGTGATACTAGGGCCATATAAATGCCTAGGAGAATCGATACAGGAGAGCATCGATTCGTTTGAAATACACTCAACACGTATTTTTCACTCTACCTTAAGAAACTCCATCATCCCTTTTGAAGTCTTACACTACAAGTTTGCGTCTGATCTCTTGGACCAAGACAAGACCTTTTATGCATTCTATAGTCAGCTCTATCGATCTCCCATCACTGAATAGATCAATCTCTTCTGTCCTCTAGCAGGCGGCCATCTTCATTCACTGATCCTCAACATCAGCAGCCTCAGCATCGGGAACCTAACACTAGTCAGATATCCCAACATTGTGCTAGAATTGAGAAAATGAGACCCAAGATGAAACAATCGACTTGAAAAGATATTTTTCACAGCGCATGGCCTGAATTGTCTTGGTTCAAAATTCGTCTGGAATCTGTGCTAGGAAGTCCCACCAGCCAACGGCGTTGTGTTGACTCGGAAGCAGCAGAACACAGCTTTAGAATTTAGGTCGCAACCGCCAGCGATATTAAGTAGGCAGATCATGAAGATTCGCACCATCTACTGTCGAGCATCCTTGACATCCTGATTGCGGAGTCTGGCTAGGTTACGACCAGCCATAATGAGCGAGTTGTATTTGTCGTAACCAAAATAATAGCTCACATTCTTGAATTAGCGATATGAATATCAGAAGACATGCACAAACAAGACATGGTAAGCAAAGGTGATGTATCGCGTGTTCAGCATGATGAATGATAATAAGTCGCCAGATTATTGTAACTGCTGGAAGGTCTGCCACAGATCTCCCGTCGTTTTTCATTTCTTCATCCCCTGGGACAGGCGCTCTAAAGATGAGAGTTAATGTAAATATATGCGCTAGTGAAATTACCTATGACTCATCTCCATGGTCTATATGTTCCTTTATGGCTTGTTCGGAGCAGTAAGAATAGATGCTCTGGCCTAACATTATAGACTGAAGATGGCACAGAACCTTCTCAACAGGGTATATGTAAATTATTTTTGTGGCAATACACAGTTGTGTTTTGCTTTTTGGGTGAACAAATCCGCAATACATGTGAATATTCATCCCTGTCTGTAGACATAGTAACCTCTTTGTAGTTTCTCGTGAAAGGAAGTATAGTATACGCCTGACACTCTCGATTCACAGAAGAAAGTATTTTCGAGGGCTTTTGGGGGAGAATCTGAAATCTCCCAGAAAACAAAAGCGTAAAAGTACAGCATGACAAAGTTTCCGCACTCTTGATATTAGAAATTCTGTACTTGTATCATCACAATCAATCAGGTAGGAACATGTCTGCTCTTTTACAACCTAGAAAATCTAATACAGACCATGAATACTTTGAAGGTGGCTGCTTTTCTAATACTAATCATCGTTGTATTCGCATTTTGAATGATCGTGGTACGCAAAATATGTATCCCGAGATCTATCTGCGGACAGACTACTGGATCACGTGCTCAAAAGGATTGAACAATTGAGTGCAAAGTACAAAGCAGCTTCTGGTTTGTAATGCACTATTAAAATCCAGAAACCAGGAGTCTTCGAGTCGCTATGGCTAGACTTGAGCGACATGATCTATCCCAAAGCCGCTAGTTCCTACATTGCTTAATAAATCGTAAAATCACAAGGATTGTCGCAATTCTTACTCACGAGGCACACTGCTACAAGAACCATAATCGCCTTTGAAGAACAAGATTTGAATAAGCACAGAATGAGTCATAGCTTTCACAGTGCATTGTAAATCATGAGTTTGCTTGAAGTAAATGTATTACATGCACGGCATGTGCTTCAAAAATGTATCTACAGGTATGTACAAGAATCAAGCTTTCAAAGCTCAACCACGAAGGATGCACACTATGCATCGTTCCTCTATTACAGCGGGTGGTCCCAACTACCCGTTGCAATTGTTCGACCATCGCGCCAATGAACCAATGTTTTGGGGCTTGTAGATTAAATAATCTAGCAAGACTTGACGTCGGAGGCGTTGTACTTGCAGTACTGCGAAGGGCCCTTGGAGACGGACTGGGGCTCGGAGCCCTTCTTGGCGCCCTTGAACTCCTCGCAGATGGTCTTGACGTTGGTGGCGCAGGTTCCGGTGATGGTAGCAGTTCCGCTGTCATTGTATTAGCTTTGTGCTCATACAATTGGGATGAATGTGATTCCAGAAATGTAACTTACCCAAAGTTGGGGTTGATACCAGCGAGAACCTTGCCGTTGTAGGCCTTGACGTTCTTGATAACGACAGAGCGGGAGACGGAGTTCTTGCAGTTACCGCAGGCACGGTAAAGCTTGCCGAAGTCGTGGCACTGGAATCCGTCGATGGTGACGGTACCCTTGCCGCTAAACGATTTGGTTAGGCAAGTAGTAAGAGGCGTCATAGAACAACTTACTTGTGCTGGACGACCTTGTCAGAAGCGCTCTGTGCTCCTCCTCCGCGGACAACGGCGTTTCCGTCTGAGGCACGCAATGTTAGATCAAATGTTCTCGCTGAGCATTAATGATTGAAGATTTACTTACCACCCTTGATGGAGAGCGCATCCTCGCAGACATCGACCCACCAGACGTTCTCGATGGTGCAGCTGCCCTCGCAGTGGACACCCTCAATCTGGTCCTTTCCAATGATGACGTTCTTGAGAGTACCACCGTTCTTGACCATGAAGACAGCGTCCTTGTTGCCACCCTCAGCCTGACCTGAGCACTTGACACCACGGCCGTAGGTCTTCATGCCACCATCGAAGGTGCCAGAGACTACCTGGGGAGCCTTGAGGGTGACGCTACCCTTGGAAGCGGGAACTGGGAGACCAGCACGCTTGCCAAGAGCAAAAGCCTCGCTGGGAGACTCGGCGGCGGGGCCAGCTGCGACAAAGGCAGCGAAAGCAGCAACGAAAGCGATGGAGAACTGCATTTTGATGTGTTGATTGAGATTGAAACTTCGAAAGTTGATTCGTTGAAAGGTATGTATGAAGAAAGTAGGTCTCGGAAGAGGTGTAGCGAAAGTGATGCTTCAAGCAAGAAAGATAGACAGGAATGAATGTGATGGGATGGTTCTTTACTGCAAGGCGTACGCCGCTGTACTTATACAAGCCCTGATCTCCAAGTCAGACCATCTCCATCCCCTTGGAAGGGGTTTCTAGCTGGATACCCGAATACTTGCATGAGTAGAGAATGATTGACTAGCGCTCCATGCAGAGACTCGTACCGGCGCTAAAATCCCCGCTGTTTGTCAATGGGCTTTGTTCCAAACTGTGCAATGTCCGCCCCTGATACCGCGGTACAGCAGCAGGCGAGAGCAAACCCGACGATTGACTTGGCCGTAAGCTTGGCAGAGGCTTTTCCACCATCGAGTGAGGGAGTTTGAGTGGACTGACATGGTACGTTACAGACTGCCAAGAACGCCATCCGCGGCCAATGGTCCGCTATCGGATTCGTTTCCTCATCTAAGAATCATGTCTGGTTTCTGGTCTTGGTGTGCCATCTTTCGGGTTGATGTCTGGAACGGTTGGAAGGCTACGCTAGGATCGTTTTAATGCCCGCATCCCGTTGTTCCTGGCGCTAAAACCGGGAAGAGAGATTAAAGTTGTTTCAATGCTTTCGCTTAGATACTTCCGCCAATGGGAAGCAGAGAATCGAGATGTCAAACAAGCTACCAGCCCGTTGGAACGTGTCAAACCAAACACTAGTTGCATGTTCTGCATCGGCCATCTGCTCCTTCGATTGAAATCTGACGTCTGCTGCGCGAGCATGCCCATCGATGATGATCGGCCCTTCTGATACAAGGTCAACAGCTGTTTATCCCATACTACAACTGCCTCTCCACATTTCTCCATCAATCCTTTATTCGCATTCCCCAATTTTCTCCAAGGGCAGCAACTTAGCCGCCACTGTGCAGTAATGTGGCAAACACTGTCAAGATGGTTGATTGCGCTGCACCGCCCTGGGTCTAGAATCGAATGCGCATAGTACTCTAGGTAGTGCGCGTGAAGAGAGCGTGGCACCGCTTGTACCATGCATGTCCCGCTGTGGCGTCCAAATGTTCGGGGGATGGATGCTGTATCTAGAAAGGGATGAAAACCACATGGCAATGACTCGAAGTAAAGGAGAAAACTAAGCATCGAAAAGATTGCCTTGGGCAGTGGATCATGCTTTTTACTCATAACCTCCCTGATGCACTGGCATTACTATCATGCAGGATGCATCTAGAGTCAGAACATGCTACATTTCATGGCGGTGAGCATGCGAATGTTGACGGGATCCGTCATGCATAGACTTCGTCTAACTACTGATGAGATGAGGCCAAGAAACCTGTTGTCATGTTACACAGTACGAATGCAATGCATGTTTATTGCGTGACTTGCGTCGCTATTGTGCACCGTGTAGGAGTCGCGGAACATTATTAGTCCCCGTGGGCGGTTTCAGATAGCGATGCTGGTAACATATCGTCTTTGAGGGAATCTGAAACGGCTGCCATTTCTGTCAAGACATGTACTTGCTTATTAGAACATTTGCATGAGCTTTAGTTGTGTGTCAGCGTGGGATCTCTTTCAGAATACCAAAGCACTGCAAATTCCGGTCATCAGGTACTCCAGACCTACCACAGTATACTTCTACACCTCACGCGCTCTTACAAGAAACATTTAAGAACCGTTTTCTATTGGTCACCGGTCAGTATCGGCGAGTACGAAATACGAAACGACCCGCTCCATTGAATGTGTGAAAACACGAGTACAATCTAGGCCTTGGCCACCAAGTATTTGCTTGTGCCCTTCGACTACCTGTCATGCACATCACCCATCTCGCGTGGCCCGCAAGATAGTGGATCGCAAACTGGACCATTTACGCGGTCGTGGGGCTGCTAGACTCCATCCAACGCCTTCCCTGAATCGTTCATGATCCTGCACTATATATTCGGACCGGACAGCATGTTGTTTCGACCCAAAAAACGAAGAACAAGATGGCGGAGGCGATAACAGGATTTGAGTTCGTGGATCAAATTTCAAATTCTGCACTGTCTTGATCTCCTGGTTCGATAATTGAAACTCGATGTTTAATTGATTGCGCAATTCGTCTCTCCGGGGGGTTGTGGATATGGTTGATAAGTATCCACTTTATCGCAGGGAGGTCAAACAATGAATTATTCTCCGTGTCAATGGAGTGTAATGGTGGATTGCGGCGATCAAGTCATTATTTTCCGTCCCCTCCTTTCTCCACATGTTTCTATTTTAGCGGAGTTAAACTCTAGAGGGACAAGAGATCCATTGTGTGATGTTATGCAATTTCGATTTATGCTCCATCTTCTGTCGTGAAGATACACAGCTTGTGGCATTTGGAGCTACAATCAACCGACCGTAGCACATACAACTGACCATCCGTAGAAAAAAATGCGGTGAGCAGGAAACCTGCTCAGGATCAACTTTATAATTGTATCCCAGAGGCTATCATCCAATAGATAGGGTAGCAACCGGATCCAAGACGCATGTGGTAGAATAGAGGGGTCGTCAGTAATTGTTGCCGGTCGTCAAAAATGCATAATGTTCATCTATACCAGAGCAAGAGCTCACAGCTGGGGTATCACGTCCAAGTCCAGACCATCTTATTCGATGCTCAAAAAAATCCATCAAAAGGATTCGACCAAAAACTCCGTAAACAATTCCATGGACCCTAGAGAGTGATCCAACATCTCAAAGCTCAAAGTCATCCATACCGTCGAAAAAAGATGCAGCGTCCTGTGTCGACATTCGAAAGTCATCTATACTGTGGCTTTTGGTGGAATTTTCAGACTTTGCTGGTAGATCTGGGCGAGAAGCTGGTGTGCAGGTCCTTTTCGCTGGCGGAGCATCACAGGTGCGAATTTTCTTCCGCTTTAGACCTGGTCTGTCTCCTACCGAGGGCGGCCTTTGTGAAGGCCGTAGATTCTTTAGATCTATCAACAGAGCACTGTCATTTCGTCTCTTTGGCCTTCCCGCAATCTTTGGCTGAGCTCCAGAGGATTTGCGTCCTCTGGGTTCAGCTGGAGGATTTGGACGAGATGCGAGTGGAAGCCTGCTGGCACTATCACGTTCACCCTCTAATGAGTCCTTTGGCCCCGTTTCGACGGGGCGGACCTCAACTTCTGCAACCTTCAATAAAGACTCGGTCAAAACTGGTATTGAAGATTCGTCATTGTCGAGATCATCCATCGAGAAGTTTAAGTCCTGCGTTGACACAGGGAGCATCATATTTGCTTCCTGCGCTGAAGTTCCAGCCTTAACAAATGGTGTGACTGCAGATTGCTCTTCATCAACAGAGAGCTCTCGAGCTATTTGTGTGCTGCTTCCAATGAAGTCATCCCAATCCTCAAGCATAGCAGTCGGTATGTACGGCTTTGCTGTTGTGATAGACACATGAGTACTCACGGGGGGTAGACCAAACGCCGACTTTGATGCTGGAAGCCCAGGCACCTTGAATCCTGGGGTGTGTGGGGTCTGTGGCTTTGTACTCATGATAGAAGGAGCCATTCTCTTTGACACGCTTTGTACTGGCATATGACATGGTCTGTTAGGCAATCCACAACCTGGTTGCGCTGTGCTTTGTATTACGCTTGCAGGTTTGTAGTCGATTGCAACCCGTATCGGGAACTGTGTCCTTTGGAATGGGTACCCTTCCTGGTTTCTATACTTCGCAGGAAAAGAAACTCTTGTGAGTATCGTCTTGGTACCCTGGAGTTGGCCGTCCAGCACGATGCACTCAAGGCGATCGTTACTTGCCCGTAGTATACGCAAGTACTGACTCTTTGATAATTGTGTGCTGTTGTAGAAGTCTCGTAGCAACGTGACTATACATCCAACTTTGATGCGCAGTCGATGTGGCGGCAATCCAACAGGGTTGAGTTTGTGTAGCAAGCCAGGCGCTGGGTCCCAATGAGAGCTGTTCATAGAGATGTCTTCGGAGAGTAGCTCTATGACTTCTTCAGGTAGCTTGTCCAGGATGGCTTCTACGGTCTTGTTTTTTGGGCCATGGGTACGGACAAAATTGGGGTCGCCTTTGGTGAGAACGTGGAGTGGTGAGGTGGGAGCAATGGCCGGCCTGGGAGGGGGCGCGGCAGCGGGTGGCATTTGCGCAATTACCGGAGCCACTTCAACAGGGTCTGACATGACCAGGTCATGCGCCTGTAACAAAGAGTCGTCGTCGAGCTCTTCGTCAATCCATTGCTGACCTAATGAGCTGTTCACGGCGGTCCAATTTAGCGCAATGTCGTCTGCCTCATCGTCGTCCCACGGCTCCTTCTCGATTTCCTGGACGATGCTTTCGAGCCTATCTGCGAGCTCCATATCCTTCTTGCGCCTCTCGTCCTCGCGTCGCTTGTTGACACCTAAGAAGGCCTCCATCTTATTCTTCAACTGGGCTTGCGTGTGGCTATACCCGATCATTTGGGTTGCACGCCCAACACCCATTTGCTGTCGCGCGCGCTCTTCTTTGGCCTCCTTCTCTTCGCGCTTTTTCTTGGCAGCTTTGCGCCTCTCTTCGGACTCGCGAAAGCGGGCGGCGCGCTCATCCAACTCAAGGCCACGCTGCAGTTGTTTCTGCTGTTGTGCAGGCAGAGCAGCTCCATTCTTCTTATATTGTTTTTTTGCTTCGGTGGAGGTTTGTATAATGCGATTCGGGGTGATAGGCATACTTCTGCGCAATCCAAAGTCGAACTGTCAGTGCGCGGTGGGGTGGTACCGGTATGCGATGCACGAGTGTGCAGGGTTGGTGGTGAGCAATAAATATTGTGCAGGCCAGCTCGAGCCTCAAGCGCGTTTGTTCTTACGCGTAGTCACGTGAGCCAAACAGCCCATGACGCAGCCCCTCATCCGCCTGCCCACCGACTTTCACCTGCATTGCCTCCTCACCTGATCATGCTCTTCGACCGTACCGTGCATCCTTCGACTCTTTTGAGGATTCGAATCAACCAGAGCCGTGAAAGACGTCTATGTCTATACTCATGAGTCCATCCCGCATTTCACCGAGTCCATGAAAGACGCTCATGACTCGAGTAGGTATGCATACGCAGGTTGTCCATCAGGCTGTTACATGCGCCGGACTTCGCTCACTAATTCCTGTTTGACCTTGAACGGCCGAGCTCAAGCTCAAGCTCAAGTGACATAGACACGGCGCAGCGCAACATCGTTCATCTTATGAGGCGTCGCATATAGAAAAGATACAGGCTCCGGTACTTGGGGAGAGATACATTTTCATTCTCCCAGGGCTTACACAAGTTGGGTAATTGCGATCCTGCTCATCACAGTGTACAAACTTGGAAAGCTGCTGTCGATAGAAGAGCAATCTATTTGTACCTACTAGCAGTGCAGGTTTGGCAAATGATTCAGCAGGAGAAGCTTGAGGACGACTATTGATACGAGGGCCTGCCATTAAAAGTGACGTCCAAGTTTGGCCTCGTCGTACCACAGCTGAAAGTCCCTGCCACCAAACATGGGACAAGCAATATATGTTGTCGTTAGCCTCGCATAGCCACAAGTGCTTACATTTGCATATAGGCGCATCAGAATCAATGCCGTGCTCCAGGCCATGTCCTGAACCCCCCTCAGGAAGAGAGATGATGGGCAATGGCAGCATGTTGGAAACAGAACGGAACATGGTGCCTATTTGTCAGTACTCAGAGACAGGCTGGCTATTGTACAGTGCGCAACGTCTATATGTTGCGTATCGCTGTCTCATGTTCTAACGTGGAATGTTTCGAAGCTACGGTCATCCCGCGGCGCTGGATTACTACATGATCAATAGAATGCACCGATGAATGCAGGTGGTAGCGCCGCCAAATTAGGCCTGATTTTCCTGTGGTTGACCGAGACCAGTTCGCTCATCGTGATTTGCACAAGCTACGGTCTCAGCTACGATGGGTTTGATGGTGCCACTCAGAATCTTATCTCAACTCCACAAGCCAGTCTGAAACGTCTCCCAGCGGAAGCTTTCTTCATTGCAAACCATGATCACGCCCCACCTCCTTGTGTCTCTTCTTAAGCAACCATCATCTTCAATCCTGTGAAATTCCACTGTCGACAGAAGTGGATAAATTTGATAAGAGGATCTATCCCGTGACTTACCAAAGCTAGATGCGTATCATGAAGTCGACAATCCAATCCCGTTCAGAGATGCTTACCGATGATTCAAAATTGGAGAAGATCAACATAGCATGGCTCCATTGTAGGAGTACAGTAACCATGCCTTGCAAAAACCTGGACGAAGCATGTAGGCACGTCAATCTGCATGGTCGCCTATTCTTGACGAATGAGGGCTTTTGAAGGCGAACTTGAGAAATTAATTCGTTGAAGTTCAGCTTGGATATTAACTACCTACATGCGATGCCACTGTAGAGTACAGGGACGTTAGCAAGCCTCAGTTAATGCGAAAAAATAAGTCTCGTCTCGAGGTTTTTTAACGTTTCCAGCTCGTTCTAACCTCTGTTTCTCTGCTTTATTGTATTCTCCAAAAGTGCCCTACTGAATGGCAGACGGTTTCATCGTTCCGTCAACAGCTCAACTGGGGTTGGATGCTAGGCATCGCTTGAAAGGCCCTATCCATACACAACGTCATGTTCGTGTTGTGTGCATTGGTGCAGGTGCATCTGGTCTCTTGATGGCGTACAAACTTCAGAAACACTTCAAGGACTACAGTCTCCAAGTCTACGAAAAGAATTCAGATATTTCAGGGACGTGGTTCGAGAATCGATATCCAGGGTAGGTGACGTAGAGGTGATGCCTGCGGGGGTCCTGAGTAGCCGAGTTCCTATCAAATCATATAGGACAACTCGCTAAGTCTTCCAGGTGCGCTTGCGATGTACCAGCACACAATTACACATGGTCTTTTGAACCTAAATCAGACTGGTCGGCAGTTTACGCTGGTTCGAAAGAAATTTATGAGTACTTCGACAACTTCGCGCGGAAATACGCATTGCGCAAGTTCATCAAGACTCAACATCAGGTTCTGGGGGCAGTTTGGAACAAAAAAAAAGAGGGATATGATGTAACGATTCAAGATTTAGTGAATGGAGAGACAGTTGGCGATCATTGCCATATCCTCGTTAATGCGTCAGGTATACTGAACAACTGGCACTGGCCTGCGATTTCAGGAATCGAAAATTTCAAGGGCACGCTGCTGCATACAGCAAAATGGGACGACAGAGTGGACTTGAAAGATCGCCACATTGGTCTGATTGGCAATGGGTAGGTAAGCGTCCCCACAGCTTGCTGTGTTGAACATGTGCTAACGACCTGTTACAGCTCCTCCGGCATCCAGGTACTCCCGACTATACAACCCCTCGCCAAGAAGATCACAGCATTCATTCGTCAGCCGACATGGGTTTCCCCAGCTCATGGTCTTGAGCAACACATTTTTACCAAACACGAGAAAGAAGTCTTCGCGACCAAGCCTGGCGCTCTCCTCGACTACCGCAAAAACATCGAGCGCGGTCTCAATGGCCAATTTGGTATCTTCCTTAAAGACAGTAGTGTCAACAGAGATACCGAAGCCTACTTCCGTCAACAAATGACGGAAAAGTTGCAGAACGAGTATCTAGAAAAGGTTCTGATCCCGAATTGGCATGTCGGATGTCGTCGCCTTACACCCGGTGTGGGGTATCTCGAAGCCCTTGGTAAACCCAACGTCGAAACGATTCACGGAGAAATCACCGCGATCACCGAAAAGGGTGTGCTTTGTGCCAACGGCAACGAACGCTCTCTCGACGTTCTCATTTGCGCCACCGGCTTCAACACCTCCTTCAAGCCGCGCTTCCCCATCATCAACGCCACCGGCCAAAACCTCCAGGACATCTGGGCTGCAGAGCCACGCTCTTATTTCGGCCTCGCAGCGCCCGAATTTCCAAACTATTTCATCTTCCTCGGACCCAACTGCCCCATCGGCAACGGTCCTGTGCTGTCGGCCATGGAAGCCCAAGCAGATTACATGTGCAAACTCATCGACCGCTTCCAGACACACAACATCTCCACCTTTGCGCCAAAAGCGGAGGCGGTGGATGATTTCATAAAGTTCAAGGACGCTTTCATGAAACGCACAGTCTGGCACGATTCATGTCGTTCGTGGTACAAAGGTCTTGGTGCCGATGGCCCTGTGACTGCACTCTGGCCTGGCTCAACATTGCACTATATTGAGGCGCTCATGGAGATCCGCTTGGATGATTGGGAGGTCAAGTATGAGGGCAATAGGTTTTCGTGGCTGGGCAATGGTTATAGTCAAACGGAAGTGGATGAGACGGCGGATTGGGCATACTACATAACGGAGAAAGATGATGCAGAGCCGTTGAGTAGAAGAGAAAGACTCAAGAGGATTAATCACAGCGGAACAGTGGAGAGCAATAAGAAAAGTGGGTTTACTTTCGCGAGGCAGAAAGGCTTGAAATTGTAGTCAGGATGTACAAGTGCAAAATGGCAAGATAATTAAAGTGTGATAATTAAGACATGTATTCGCGTTTCCCCGGAGACTTTCTGCCTTGGGTACCGGTAATACCCATCATCAAAGCCGGAGATCAACACAGAATGCTTCTCGCAAAGTCCTCAGCCCATGGGCTGCGCCCATTACAAACATGTATACAACGTAAAAATATATTGATCAATTACAGGACGATACAAACGGAGTTTCTGACTGCTCTAGTGTTGATCTAGCCAATGAACAGATCCCGCATCGATTATCAGTCACACAGGGAGAATAGGCTTCTGAAAGACCCACAGTCCGAGTCCTCTTCAGGGGCTCTGACTGTTTTTGTTACAGTTTTGGTACGACATTTCTTGACCTTGAGCTTAGGCACGACTTTTGTAACCGTCTCTGTAATCGTCTTCTTAGCAGTGACCGTGACATGCCTTGTCGTGGCCGCGGTAAACGAGCAGGAACTATGAGATGGGGATGGCGATTTCGTGGTTTTAACTGTATGCATACTCGTGACATCGTTCGTTTGCACCGAGGTAATGGTGAGGGTGAGGGTAGAGGTCGTTGTGACCCTTCGTCCTCTATCTTCGTGTGCCCTGTTTCTGACCTCAGACTGACTATGAGTTTCGTCCGCTGCCCCGTCCAATGCGGAAAGCGCATTACTCAAGGATCCGCCTCGTAGAAGCTTTGCGGCGTTCGATGTAGCGGAATGAAGACGATTCGTGGCTTTTGATAGACCTTCAGCAGCCTTGCGCGCCCCAGGAACCTTTTTTGCAAAATCCATAATCTGCTTGTATTGGCCAGTGAAAGCGTCCAATGCACTCAGTGGTCCCTCTTCAGGTCCAAGCGGTGATCCCTCCCAAGGAACGCCCATTGACAAAGTCTGCGTGCTGAGCTTGACAAGGCTGTTTAGTGCAGGCGTCGTTTTAAATCCCTTTGCTGCTGCTTTTGCCAAATCCGCTGTATTGCTGACAAGTTCGCGATTGAGGAAATCGAAAGCGTCGGGCATACCCACTGTATCCGCCAGTCGAAGCGTCTCTCCCATTTGGTGCGCAAAGTTGAGTGCTTTGGCGGGCTGCACGCCGAGATCCTTTAGATGTGAAGTCAGGACATCTGTCAGGCCGCGGTTGAGGACGCGAGACATCTTGGTGACAGCATCAGGATTCAATCCGTCAAAGACTTTCGCAAGGTCAGGGACCAGCTTGGCGCAAAGTGTCTTCGAAAGTGCTGTACCAACACTGCTGCCGGCGATACCACCAATGAATGTCCCTGGTATGACGCCCTGCTCGAATTCCGAGGCTTCTTCGAGAGATGTGCCGTTGGGGTAGAGGTTTTTGCCAGCTTCTTGTCCGACAACAGAACCTACCATCGCTCCTGCTCCGGATACGAGCGACTTGCATATGCCGCCCGCAGCCGTGCCATCAACAACATTCATAACGGCGGGTAGAAGTAAGGTGCTGATGAAAGCGCCCAGTACTGCTCCATTTTCCTTGCCGGTCCGGGGTACATCTGCTGGCTGTGTACTTGGGGCGGCGGAATTGGTGGCTGTGGAAGTGGTGGCTGCGGTTGCAAGGTCTCCTCCCAAGGCAACACCCTGGGGCGGGTCGGCAGCGTAGACCTCGAGGAGAGCACCTTGTGATACCAAGAACAGGGCAGGCATGTTTCCCAAGGAGCCATCGAGGAGTTCATTGAAGTCTAGCGCGTCTGTAGGTGGGGTTGTCAAGCCCCATGTTAGGCCGGCAAAGGCCAACACGGTGATGGTGAACAAAGTGAAAAGTCGCTTCATTTTAAAGCTGATATAAAAGGGGCTCAGTTGAGAAGAGCGTGTAGTGAAAGGGGATGATTTGAGAAGAGCTTGTAGTGGAAGGGCTGAAGTGAGGAGAGTGTGTAGTGAAAGACAGAACAACAAGTTCTGTGAGATACTTATACCTGGGAAACAAGAGCTATTGACAGTGGGGACATCACTACTGTGCCCATCTACCAGGAGCACTCTGCTGCTAGGGAAACTGAATTCCCTTATCAGGTTTCCTGCACCATGGCTCTTGCTTGTAGAAAAACTAGATCGTGGACCTGATACACACAAACATGGACGTTCCCATGGCAATGCAGAGTCTGAGAGAAGGCCAGGTAGTCGCTGTTGCTAAGATATCGCAAACACAACAAGCAAGATGCGGTAGCTGACCTTGGCTAATGCAATCGCAATCGGTACCAAAATCCTACTCTGCGCAGTTGCATACTGGCCAGTCTTCCTTCTCCGGATGATTATGGGAACAGGCTGCACTGAGTACGATAAGACAGATGGCATCCACATTCATGCACATGCCTGCAATGCACTTGACGTTGCTACCAGATTCGCTGATGAAATTGCTCGGTGGCCTTTGGCGCGGCTCCATGCTCCTTACCAGTGCAAGGATAAAGGCAAGTTCAGTTTGATGCAGTGGCGGGCGCAATTCAACTAGTCGCACGGTAGTGTTTACTTTATGCGGTCTCGAGTGCATGGCTTGGTCTGCGGATGTTGTTTGCAATCAGCAGGCGCACATTTCCATGTAGAGACATTCGACGCCATTCTGCGTTCGGTCGTAATCCACGAAGGCGCGGCCCTTGTTTTGGTTTCGGTAGGTCAGGAGAGCTGGATGAAAAGCGTAGTCGTGTACGGTAGCTGTTCAGGCATTCGAAATTTCTGGCTCGAGGCGCCTTGTTAACATGCATATTCTTCCTTCGGCATTGCATACGCAATTGCTATAGAGATTGCGGTCATTGATGACGACTACCATTTCCGAATTCCCAAGCCAATACGCTTGTGGGTCGTAGGTATCTGATGAAGGAACATGGGGTTCGGTCAGGTTGCAAGCTAATGGCATGCCATCGTTCCCCAGTGAATAAAGCTATACCTCTGATGTTCATGTACAGTCTTCGGCCAGAATTTCATATCTGCAAGCGTCTGGATCGCGGCATTTCGTGTTCTGTCTTGATGTTTAGCTCAATAGGTTCTGAGGCGACCGAGACGTCTGTAACTGCGCAGGTCGATATTTTCAGCCTATCATCTTACCGGTACTTGCTATAGGTATCCTCTCTATTGGAAATGCCTGAATTTGACTTTCACTTCGGGCAAGACAAGTTTAAAATTTAGGTGCATGTCCATCTGGCCGTTGAGGGTCGACCGTGAAAGATGCCATGCTCGTAACTCGATTGAAACAGGGCAAAGGGGGCTGGGGCTGGGAGCTTGGACCCTTGACGCGTCGCACCGATTGACGCGAGGCTGTCGTGACACTTCACTTACCAATTCAAACTGTCCCATTTCTCGCAACAGAACAAACACATTGATCGACCAGCATATTCGAGGAAAAAGAAAGGCTGAGCTATTGGTGGCGCAACAACCGGTTTGTTTTGCGGGCTACCTAGTCACATTCGCACGACCCTTGGCCGTAGAACTGGAAGACGACTGCGCGCATTTGGCTCTCATGTCACTTGGGGAGACCCCGAGAATCTTCAACTGGAACAATCAACTTATAGGATGAATTATTGAGTGGATATTGACTATACACGGATCGAATCTTCAAACAATCTTACATCTCGAAGCCGGCAATTTTACAATGCCACCGGAACCTTCTCGTCCTCCTTCGAACCATCAAGGGGCAAATTCAACCCAAGACGCTCACGAGTACTATAAGCCTTGACACCATCGTTCCCTTCAGCCTCGGTGACCAACTCTTTGCGTCTGGTATCAACAAGAAGGCGAATGAGATCAGGTCTCATATAATGACCCGAGAAGTCCGCCAGTGCCTTGGTCAAGTGACACTCGTTAAGATCGATCTGATTGAAGATTAGCACCTTGAAACGCACAAGCTGCAAAGCAGGTACTCACATCCACGAACAGCAGTCCGTCAAAGTCCTTGTCCGGCTTGACCACCAACGATCCGTCCGGCCTGTATATGCGCGCATGCCCATTGTAAGTAGTTGGGTCGGTCTCAGGCTCCACTCCCTCCGGTGTGTTCATCTTCAGGCCTTCAGCGCTCAGCCTTTGGAACGGCGCAAGCGTCCATGTCCCAGTCTCAATCGCATAAGCCGGCGTCACCAAATCGCTCGCGGGATCTGCAACATTGGTCGCGGGGTCCGGGTATTTGAGGGTTTCCTTGCCTGGGTACACGGGCCAAGCTGCGATGTGGATTTGCTCGCCGGCAGAGACATTGAGCGCTTTGAGGAATGGGTTCATGTTTTCCCAGCAGTTTAGCTGGCCGAGGCGGCCGAGCTCGGTGGGAACGACAGAGGTGAAGGTGTCGCCTGCGCCGTCGCCGTAGACGAGCTTTTCAACGTGTGTAGGCTTGATTTTGCGGCGGTGGTTGAGGACTTCGCCGGTAGGGCTGATGAGAGCTTGGGCGAGGTAGAGGGTTGCGTGATCAATCTCGGAAAAGCCGAGGGAGACATGGCTGTGATGTGTCAGTGGCTCACGTATTCATGGATCCGTTACCAAAAGAACTGAATAGTCGATTGGTGAACGTAAGAAAGGGGGATGTTACATCTGGTTATCCCGTGCAGCTCTCCTGATACGTCGAAACTCGTCAGAATCCACGGCCATGGAATTCTCGCGGTACTTCTTCAGCATGGGAAGCGATTGCTGATAATTGATCTTCCACATCCAGTATGGGTAGCCAGGAATCCATACTTCAGGGAAGGCAATGAGTTTGCAGCCTGCCTGCCCGGCTTCATTGATGAAGTCAATTGTCTTTTGGACACCAGCTTCTAGGTTGAACCATGCCGGCTCTGAAGTGACCTAAGTGCTGTCAGGGACTGGCATGATATACGATGGGAGGGACATACGGCAGCGGCTTTGTACTTGGTAAGAGGCATAATCAAACCTGATATGTAGAAATGGTGATTGTCTTTGTTTTATGGTAGGAAATCAAGAGTAACTCGATGGATGATGAACACTTCCATCGCCCACAACGCTGATGTTTATATACCTCTCATACAAGAAATCACAACCCACTTTTGGCCATCCCCGCATGCCGATAATCCTCTCAACCTGCCTACATCAACAACATACTGCACTATCTCCTCTATGCCGTTCGATCCATGCTGCCGGATGCTCAACGATCATCGCTCCACTGAAATCCGCATCCAGAAATTCTTGACCACTAACCCACTCAAATCATGTAGTGCAAGAGTGGCACCATTTCTGCTAAACTACCAATTAGCGACGGTATGGATGAGTGTACAGCGTTCAAGGTGGTCAGTATGCACGACCATATCCGTCCAGCACGTGAGCGGCGTGGCACCGGCGTTGATGAAAAAGAAATCCTGTCAGTATCCATTTATCTGCGGCATGTCGACGGCGTGTTATCGGCAGTATAGCGGCATGACGCGATTCACCATCGGCATCTTCAAGGGCGCGATATGGCGGATTGCTCATCGTCGCATATTGCGAATATGCTCGGAGACGGTCGGGGATGTGGTGGGAGCAAGTTCGGGCGTCATGGTGTTGGACGCAGTGGGGCAGCCTTGCTGATAAAATGTTTCTACCCGAAGTGGCGATTATGCATAAAGCCAAGAATGTCACGAAGAGGTGCATAAAACCGGATTAGTCAGTCTGCGGTGATGGGTTTTTACCAAGTCGTTTGTTTGAGGAGTCGACTGAGATTGGCTTGCAGAATGCTAGGGCCGAGGAATCGCTGTATGGTGGTACCAGGTACAGGGCATGGAGATGCAGTCATCTACAAATCAAAACATGGTTGCAGAATGCGTCCCCGGGTTTCGAAACTTTATCCCCCCTAAAATCTTGCTGCAACTTCATGGTTATCAAAATACATGTGTTTATTATAGCTTTTTAGCACAAGACCCATCTATACACGATATACTTTTGGGCAAACACTGAGTGTACTCATATCCAAGTTCACCCTAGAATCAAGCTATAGAGACATGTCTTTAATATCTGACTAGAAACGCTTGTTCTATACCTATATACACATGTCCTTAACTCTAACCAAAATTAATACCCATACCAATACACGTCTTCAAGAATTCGCCCCTTTCAAGCAACCAGGAGACTTGTTTTTCCTACCTATCTTCACTTCCTCACCACCTCCGCCTATATATCGTGTTCTATACTTTAAAACTCTCCTGCCCATGTTCCAAACACATCCTAATCCCAGATGCATATGATATAACATCTACACGAGGGAAGTTCCACGACCACACGCCAATGCAGGAATAACGTCTAAGAAATCTACATCAGCTTTAGGCATTGCAAATCACTGCGGCAGTCTGATGAATGGAAATGCAGATATCAAAAGGCAATCCTATAGGTATGGTCCCTATTCACTAGGAAACCCTGGGGATTCAGAAAGTGCAAAAGGATTTGCGATGTCGAACGAATTTAGTATTGCTAATATTTGGTTTACGAATAGGAAATACTATGGTTAAAACTGTGTGTGATAGTCTCTGGGTAGGAGTGTGACTTGTAGAGTATCTACTTCCTAAAGCGCTCTAAGTCATGTAGAGGTGGCTGAGCGTTGGGGTTAAGACGATGAGGCCCACTCAAAGGTTCAAATACACTACAGCTTAGCTACGGTAATCTTTATTGGAATTGCTATACCATGTAGACTTTTTACCCTTTATTCCTTTCTTTATCCTAACATCTTATCGAAAACATTGTCTGGTATGAGGAGCACAACTAGTGAGCATTGTGTATTGAGTTTGGTAGAACATGAGACAGTGGATTCACTGACACCCCATCGCGCGCTACTGGTGGAAATTGAGGGGTAATAACAGATGTACATCGGCTATACGGATTATACGCCTCATGCAATGTCCACGGCCGTCGTTCGACTTGGCTGGCATCCTTTTCCTCGGCGACGCGTCTCTACGCATGACTGTGACAAGCATACGGTTCCGAAGATGCCGTAATTTGCAGAAGACGAAAGGGGTCTAAGTCGCCAAGAGAGGCTCATACTGTACTATAGAACCTACAGTTTCGTCCTGGTCTCAACCTTGGTCTCGATCATTCTCTCCGCGGACCTCTTCGCCCCCTCTTAACAACATTCCTCACAGTCTTTCCCGACTGTAACTTGGGCACTTCTTCTACGAATTCAATGCCGCCTCAAGCTGTTTATGTCTGCCAAGCTTCTTCTTCATGTGTGGATGTATATGTTCCTTTGTAATTTATCTTTGAACTCGTCCTTCGGCGTGATATAGGCGCGCGGCCACTCCTGTCCGTCGAGAGTGATGCTGACAGCTGCCGCGTCGGTGACGGCATTGCATTGTATGAAGATGGCTTCAATTCGGGCGGGGGCAACCTGTACAGCGTTGACTTTGATAAGTTCTTATCATGCGAGTCAGTTGCTGATGTGCATAAATTTGGGTGGTGAGTGCATGTTTGGGGCGATCACCTTCTTTCGATCGACGATCCATATCCAGTCATTTTTTACCGCTACACTCGCAACATCAACGGTCGTAGCCAGCCATCTGGTGGAATGGCCTCCTTGGTGGCTTGAGGTCAACACCAATAGTCCATGCAAATATTTGGACGGCGAACGTAGAGTTCACCAGGTCTACCGTTGGCAATCTCTTGGTTAGTTTCGTCGCGAAATCTGTACTCACAATTTATGACAAGGTTATCCATCCGTCCAGAACTATGCTGAATTGGTTATCCTGGTCGTGTGGGATTCTCGCACTTACTCATCTCTCAACCCGGCTGGCACGAGTGTACCATCGTATGTGACTTCTTTCACTCCCCAAACTTGAATTATCTTTCACACCGCTGAGATCCTACTTGATTGTCTCTGGCTTCTTGCTCAACATTAACATCATCGCTGGGCTACTTGCAAGTGTGTGACTTTGAATTCTGGGATGACCTCCAAGAAACCTCTCATACTTGAACTTCTTCGTGATATATGTCAGTATCTGGTGCTTCGCAACTATGCAACAAGCGTACCAATTACACGTATGCATAGTACAGCGGAAGAAAACCTATCTGGCCTGAGTGATTTGCTTCAATCCAATCTGGTGTATCTAGACGCTCTGCTTGGAAATCTAGACTGTGGGGAGCGCGGAGGGGGAAGCCAAACGTATGAGTCGCGGGTAGGTAGGTGCAATAAGACATCACCAAGGCTTCCTACACCAAGGCTTTCGACTAATACACTGTACATGATTGAGGCACATGCCTTACCTCCCAAGGCCTACGAGCCAGCGCAGCCACGCGATTTGGTTCCATGAGGCAGTGATGCTACAGTCAGGAAGTTCGAGTCGCTCGTGGTAGGGAACGCGGGGGTGCATGACGCCCCACATGATTCGTCATGCCGAGGATGTCGAGCTTGAGTTCTGCAAACCTCCACCATCGGACCCAGTGGGTGATATGGCACAATTCGCGATTTTCCAGTGCGCGCTCATTGTCCATCATACTTACCCCGGGGGTTGTTGATATCCATGTCTGAGATAAGAAATTTCGACAGTCTTTTCAGCCTTGAGGGCAAAGTCGCGCTGGTTACTGGGGGTACGGTTTCAACTATGCCAGACATCAGATAACTCATACTCATTCGTACTTTAGGCTCGAGAGGCATCGGTCTCCATACTGCGACGGCGTTTCTCTTAGCAGGTGCACAGAAAGTCTTCATCTCAGCACGTAAGAGTGAGGGCGAGCAGGGCATCGACCAAGCACTCGAGAAGCTCAACCGACTTCCTGTTTCTGGCATCGCCATTGGAATAGCAGCCAACGTCGCCGACACAGAAGACATCGCCTGTCTGGTCAAAATAGTCGAAGCAACCGAAGACAAGCTCGACATTCTTGTATGCAATGCTGGCGCGTCATGGGGCGGCCCCTTTGAGCCTACGCCAGATTGGTCCAGCCAGAAGGTATTGGATCTAAATGTACGAGGTGTCTTTAACCTCGCACGACTGTACGAATGACGATTCCCATATATAGTGTTTTGATGCTGAAATCAGCAGCTTCACGCCTCTTCTCGAACGCGCCGGTACGCGCACCGATCCCGCACGCATCATCATCGTTTCCTCCACCGCTGCCACCACAGTCCCCCATGTCGGCGAGCACGGCACAATCATGTACAGCGTCTCCAAGGCTGCAGCACACCATCTGGGACGCCAACTCGCCATTGAGCTCGGTCCGCGAAACATCATCACCAACACCGTCGCGCCTGGTTTCTTCCCCTCCAAGCTTGCAAACGGGTTGATTGAGAATCTGGGGGGTAGGGAGCAGCTCGAGGCGTATAATCCACGGAAGCGGCTGGGCGAGCCGCAGGATATAGCGGGACTTATGGTGTACTTGGCTAGTCCTGCGGCGGCATATGTGAACGGAGAGGATATCGCTGTGGATGGGGGCGCGAGATTTTCGGCTGGTAGACAGTCGAAAATATAGCGGAAGTCGGGTCATAGCGTGTTGTCACAACATCCGGCCTTCGCATCTTGCACATCGAAGTGATTTAGAGTAGCAATCTTATTTACAGTTAACTGCTCCTTCTACTTGTCTCTTGCTTTATGCATCTCTGATCTCAATCACTGTATCTCTCGTTGTCGTCTGGCTGCCTTCCTTCTCCCCGCTAGCCGCATCATCACCAACTACCGTCCCCAACCTCGTCAGCCCACTGGTCCTACCTTCTCCCATCTTCTCGACCATGCGCTGAATATGCGGATGACTCGGCGGCGGCCTCGCACTGCTACGCCTCGGCACTGCCTCCCTCTCTTTCAATCTCGATCTCATACCTTCTTCCGTCGAGAGCGTGCGGTTTACGCGACTAATGGGTGGCTCGAGATTTGTATCGTTTGGTACCGCCGATCTGGTCTTGGGACGTATCCATCGCCAAAACTCCTTGGTTTTCTGCACCCAGATGCTGTAGCCGTACTTGGTTGACAGGAAGCCAATGATGCTGAAGAAGGGGATACATATGGCGGCCAGCGTCACGCCAAAAGGCCAGAACGGGAAAGGGTGTTCAGGCATATTTGTCATGCCGTAGATAGAGGTCACGAACGTGAGAGGCTATGATTACTTAGCTTTGTCATGAGGAATGCGACAAAAGAGCGGGACGAATATACCATGAAGAATAAGTTTACAATTGTAAGGACTTTGATGTTGTAACCTTGGTGCACAGTGACATCGGCCAATTCGACAGATTTGCGCGACTCTTGGATGCTAGTTCCTGAGAAGAGCTGTTCTTGTAGGGTATCAATTTCGTGGCGGCGCTCGTTGTTCTCTCGTTGAATGATCCGTAATTCCTTCATCTCACGCTCGAATTGTAGCCGTAAAGATCTTAGTCGGCGCTTCCAATGGTCGTTACGCGGCGATTCTTCGAACAACGGCCAGAGCGTCTTGCTTTGACCCTCCCAAACATCTTCCGTAAAGGTGTCTTCAAATGCGTCAATCATGGATTTGATGCTATCGTTGACGTAGCCTAGCGCTTGGTGGGCATAGAAATATCGTCTTGTAAAAGTGAAATCCTTGTCCTCGAATAGTCTTTTGTTTCGCAGCTCCTCATCGAACAGGAATCCCAATGGGGGAGTAACAAGCTCAGTTATTCGCTTGTATATCTCATCATATCGTTTCCTCGCATCGCGGTACTCTGTGAGCAGAGCATGTAAAAACGCTTCAGCACCATTCAGATATCGATGTCCTGTCTCAAAGGTATATGGTGTACCGTTGACCGGGGTAGACTTCCAATCCGGGAAACATTCTAGCTGTAGCACTTGCCAGGGAGACCAAACATCATGAGTCCATCCATATTTGGTCTTAGCACGGCGTCCCCTGTTCCGGAGCCGGCGAGGATTGTCATCAAACAGAGCCAAGGCAACGACTGCACCACACCGACTTAGCGGTATGTGTTCGTCTGAAGGCTTTGTTACTTTGTCAGCACGCTGCCATTGCATTGGCTTGCATTCCTCCCCAATGATTGTGTAATATTCGAAGTTGAAGAAGAAGCTCCTCTGATGCCTTGGATCCTCGTTGAAAGTTCGAAACATGTGTGCAGATGATGCTTCTGTCTGTACAAGGTGTTGGAATAATTCGTCCATGTCGAATGCATTATGTAGTGTAAGATGAAGAGCCCCAAAAAGAATGGGCGATGGCTCTCGTGCGACAGTGATGCGTCCCACGACTGTCTGATCTTTGCTCTTGCCAATATCCCGAATCGCGTGCCAGATCTCGGTAGCCTTGGACATGCCATTTTCAGAGTCGCTGGTCTCGACTAACTCAGGTAGCCCGTTCACTCCCACATTGTAGACTTGAAAATGCGAGTAGTGGCTTCGATCATCAGCTGGACCAGGTCCCAGGTGGAATAGATGGGGTTGCTTTGAAAGCCTTGCAGGGTCTGATACAATGGACGCCAGGATCTCTCGACCATGTTCAGTCCAATTATGTGTTTTCAGATGCTCGCGCAGATGCTCATGATCGAATGTTTGCGAAGGCAACTCTGCCCGCACGAAGAAGTCTTCCTCGTCATCGCTGCTGTCATCGGACAAGGTGGAACTGTCTGCGAAAACTGCATTGTCCCCTAGACGAGTTGCTGAGCGGTGGAGTTGTCCCACATCGGAGGCTCCGAGGTTTTCGTTTGAAACGGACAAGCTTTTTAGTAAGTTGTCGTGCGACCTCTGAAGGACCTCCAGCTGCTTGCGAAGCTCATCAAGCTCACGCGCAGCCATGAACTAATTCTCCGAGATCATTAATGACTGCGATTGAGGTGTAGGTGTCGTTTGCAAGACATTTCGAATGCATAGTCCCATCGGCTTTTGTCGAAGTACGCATTGACACAACCCGGCCCCCAAACCAGGCGTGCTGCATGCCTAGCCTTTTACGAAGAACAGTTGGTGTCTCTGTCCAATGCCCATTCATGCCAAGATGAGCCGGTTCCTATCAGAATGAAAACTCGCGTTTGTATGGGTGAGTCGTACCAGTTTGCCTACACCGCCTTTCCAATCCTCCATAGCTCAAGTATCTTAGCCGCAACAAGAGATTTATTGCCTATTTTCCTCTTTAGATATTTGGTGCCATCTCATGTATCTTTTCCAATAGGGCATACTACAGAGACATAAGGCGCAAGTGTCGCCCTGCCGCAGCTGATGGGAGTGCGTGAGCCCTTGCAACCCAGGACTGTTCTCATGTCTCGAGGAATTGCCCAGAATCAGACGAGCGGTCTACGACCAAAGCGAGAGGATCGCCAAAAGAAGACTGCCTGTGTTGCGATGATCATTGCTATGCTGTCAATGATCACCTAGGCAGAGTTGAAGTTTGTTGTTTTCAATACGTCAACAATGACGGTTACACTGCCGCTTCCCCTTGATTGGTGCTCGCTTAGTGTATCGTGACCGCCCCCTTCTCTTCACGAAGTGCTTCCTTTTTTGAGCAACCGCATTCTCACTACGATCAATTGGAAGGCGTCTTAGATGTTGTAGCGAAAGATGCCTTCTTTGTCTAATCTTTTCCTGGTTTCGATACCTCTTGTGTTGTTGGCACTCTTTTTCCAGACTGGCGCACCGGCTTTTGCCCTCCACATTGTTGCTGAGCATGTAGCCTTCAAGGTAGTTCGCAATCTCCTCGCAACAACATACTGTTACGCGTCGGTCAAGACGCTCTCTGAAGTTGGGAGTGATGCCAAATGCTTCAGTGTCTTCAACGGCAAATTCACCAAAGTAGTCCCGGAAGGATCTTGGACTGTGTTACAACGGCTCGATGCGCGAGATGGCCATGTGATCCCAGGGCTTTGGGATGGACATGGGCATCTGCTTCAGTTTGGAGAATCGCTGGATTCTGTCAATGTCTTCGGTGCAGGGTCGATGCAAGAAGTGCAAAGGAGACTGCAAGAGTACAAAGCCGCTCGTCCAGAAACAGGTTCGAAGAAGGAATGGATGAGAGGTGTAGGATGGGACCAAGCCAACTTCGGAGGTAAATGGCCTACTTCAGTATGTTCTAGCAGCACTGCTCAATCTATTCCCTCTCGAGATATTAATTTCGCTGATCTGAAAAGTCCGATTTGGAGATCGATGATAGGTTTAAGAACCTATACGTCATGTTGGATCGTGTAGATGTACACTGCATATGGGTGTCAGACAAGGTTCTTGATCTGCTGCCATCCAAATTACCTGATATTCCTGGTGGTGAGATACCATCAAAGGGTGTGTTCTGCGACAATGCTATGGACATCGTCCTCAAAGTCTACCCGAAGCCCGACAGGGCACGCAGAACAAAGTTTGTCAAAGACGCAATGATCGAGCTGAACAAATTAGGTATTGTGGGCATGCATGACGCTGGTGTTGTTCCTAATGACTTGCAACTCTACAAGGACTTGTCGAACGATGAAGATTGGACGGTGCGAGTCAACGCTATGATCGAATGCGATGTCAGGAACACGTTTTGCCCCCATGCTGTAGAACGAATCTCCACGCCCAATGGCAAATTTCACGTCCAAGGTGTCAAGCTATTTGGAGGTATATACCGTTGGTCCAAAGAATGTGCACATACTTATGTCTTTTAGATGGCGCCCTGGGTAGCTGGGGTAGCGCGATGATTGAGCCGTATACTGATAAGTCGAGCTCAGTTGGCTCGCTTCTCGTCAACGCAACCGCTCTTTCGCAAGTTACCCTTGAATGGGCGACGGCAGGCTGTAAGTCTAGGCGATGAATGAAATCATAAAATCGGTGTGCTAATGGGATCGAAATCTCAGATCAGGTAAACATTCATGCCATTGGTGATCTGGCCAATAGGTTAGCAGTTGATGCATTCGAGGCTGCCTTGAAGACACTGTGCCCCAAGTCCAGCCTTCGCGAATGTCAGCAAAGATACCGCTTCCGAATCGAGCACGCACAAATCATCCACACGGATGATCAACAAAGAATGTTGGAGATCGGCATCATTCCCTCAATCCAACCCACACATGCCACCTCAGATATGGGATACGCCGAAAGTCGACTAGGCGAGCAACGTACGCAGAATGAGGCGTACCGGATGCGTTCGTTGCTGCCTCTACGGCCCATTCTTGGAAGTGACTTCCCGGTTGAGCCAGCGGATATTTTTGAGGGCATGTATGCAGCCACGACGCGGCGAAGCCCTCGCACTGGACTCGATCCAAGCGGTGGAAAGACTGGCTGGTATCCTGAAGAGACGATTACACTCGAAGAGGCCCTGAAAGGCTTTACAGTCCATCCAGCATACGGTGCGTTCCTCGAAGGCAAAGCTGGAGTCATTGATGTGGGGGCGTACGCGGATTGGGTTGTCCTTGATAAGCCATTAGAGTCAATGGACCTGGAAGATCTGCGTCAAGTGACTGTTAGAGAAACGTGGGTGGGCGGCAAGCGCGTGTACCAGCGGCCCAAGCCCCCCTCTGTCCGCGAGGCTTGATGTCACCGCTTGGAGGGCAAACGACAGACAGCTCTCCCCAGAAGACGAGGAATGACGTCCCCCTATGGTCTTTATATTCAATGGCAGTATACGACTACGTACCGTGGGAGTCAGTCTTTACAATAGAATTCACCGCCACAGGGGCAATTATAATGCGGCACGTCACATGCAAGCTTCGGCGGCAAGTCAGAAACTTCCTTCTGCTGCATTAGTATCTCTACCATACGGCCCATGCTGCATCTCACCACCATGCTGTTACCCAATGCCCGCTTTGTGTTTTCCTCATCGGGTATAGTCTCCGCCTTCCACTTCACACTCACACTCTGCCTTGGGCAGTGTAAACGGCTTCCCCACGCGACATCATGGTACTCAAACAAAGGCAGCCAACGAGAGCACTGCCATTGATGTTTGTAATGGTTGATTTTTCTTTCCAGCGCGGTAGAATTCTTACTCGCTGCCACAGCTCTTTTGCTTATTCTTCGGTGCCACAATACCACGTAGAGCCCTGCAAGGCAAATTGGGCGTGGGCGTGGGGGGGGGGGGGATATAAAAGTGGTTTTTGTGAAAAAACCAAGACTCCCAAAATTTCTCTTCATCAAAAAACAAAAAATGGTGGAAACTCCAGGGGAATAAGGGAAACCCAAAAAACCC